TTGAAGTTTAAATTACAACCCTTTTTTATCACCACTACGTTAATGACACGATACTATGCATTCATAGGAATGGTATTAATATTGTTTTAAAGGTCTTTAATAGCCTCTAGGGTATCTAAATCTTTACAAATAAGCTTAAATAGAATTATAGAATACATTCTCTGATTAAATTAATAATGAAAAATTCTCAGATTATTTTAAATTCGTTCAATAAAGAAACATCTACTTTTCGTACCGTAAACTTTTGTTCTAATTACTCGCTCCTGTTAGAAGAAAAGTTTTATAATTTATTAAATCCTCTTATCTTACTATTACATTGTTGTTCTTACAGTAATGAGAATAAAAATAATATTGTAAGACAGTTGCTCCTTGAAAATGACTACGTGACTTCGTTTATTCATAAATATAATAAATGCCGTACCTCTGCTCTAAAAAATTAACCTTTTTACTATTCAGTTTTCCTATATCCTGATTATTATATTGTTAAACTATTTATACCCATTCCATTTGTCAATAATCAGTTTTGCTTAAAATATTATAACAGCCTCAGGCCACATAATGTTTATGTTACACCATTGATTATTTGATTTATGAGCCTCCTAGTACTATTATTAAATTAGGTAGAGATAAAACATCCAAGTAAAATACGACTAATGCCGTGTATAAGTTCTCTTGTGGCAATGGTCCTGCTAGTTATGTTGGACGAACATGAGCAATAAAACATCGTAATAATGAATACTTTTCAGGATATAAATGAGATTCAGTTGTTTCTGAGCATGTAATTAATTTTTGACATAATTGCAACTACAACTCTGTTATAATATGTAATACAGAACCCAACTACAATAAAAGACTGTTATTACAGTCGATTTATATTAATTGAAAAAAAAGTACTTTAAGTAAGTAAGGAGACGTTGATAGGCTTAGTTGAGTGTATTTATCCTTGCAAAAAGTATTGTTACGTTCAAGCAAAAAATGCTTGACGAACGCGGGGATCTCAATATCAATTGTTCGGGAATTACTGAGGATCAATAAACTGTTAAGTGGTAGTAGTTTAAATAGCGTTTATTTAATAGCGTATGTATTTACAATAGCGGTTAGCGGAGCTCAGAGCGCAATTGATGTTGGCTCTTTGCTTGTTAAGACGTATCTGGTTTATTACAATTCCAGGAAATATAACTATTGCATTTAACGTATTGTGCTAAGGAAAATTAGAAAATGAAAAGAGAATTAAAAGTTCACGATTGGCGTGAACATACCGCCCGCCATTTTATTATAAAATAATAAAATTATGATGCGTCGATGTTCTGGCAAAATTCGATGATAGAGTTAATGGCAGCTCAGATGGCCCAATCGGCCCGGATAAAATCCAACCCAATGCAGTCTGCTGAGCGATGGGTGCATCGGGACGCTGAGGTTGACGAAGACCTGGTCGTATTATTTGGGCGTACACTGCAGCGCCTAGTAGCAGTTCAATTGGTTCACTAGATGGTGAATCCAAACGGTCGGCAAGCTGCAGGTCGCGTAGATGAGGCCATCCGTCGGTAGGCCGATGCACTCGAGGTCGATATGACGTGACCGCCTTGAGCAGAAGCACATCCACATCAAGAGAGTAGGGAGCACATCGAGACTTGNATAGATTCAAATGCAAATTTTCTGAATTGATACATATTTTTGTTTATGATAATAATGTAAATAGACAGATTGATACTAACAAACTTAATGTCTCTTAAAAAAATTTTTTACAAGATAATAAGTGTAAAATCATGCAAAAACAATATTAAGTTTTTTTTTACGTGTATTATACGTTTTCATACGTTCAATAAGTTTTATGAATTTCACACACATTTCATTGATAGTTTAACATCCTTGATTTTTCCTCACTATAGTACTTACAGTGTACCTTGTTATACATATTTCACATATGAGTTTACTTTCCTACATTTAGTTTATTTTCTTGCATTTTAATGTTTCTGACTATGTTCCTTGTGAAAGCAAAAATCTTTTTGTTAAATAGTAATTTCTTCACATTGATCATTATGTACTAATAACTTTTTTCTTCGTTTGCAATGTCACGTGTTATCCTAACACTTACATTGGTAATTATATCAAACTTTTCTTAGTAATTTATAACTTGTTTTGGATATTATGTATTTATGATTGTTTATATATTTTGTTAGTTGCCCTGAGGATGACGTCAGCATGAGGTTGAAATTTGGCATTTATGTTAGTTGTGTAAATAAAGTCATGCTCCAATAACCAATATTTATACTGTGTTATTATTAAAACTAAGTTTATTTAAATAGAATAAAGCTTTGTATGGACCAAACAAAGAAAATCTTCTTGGCTGCAATATGTTTATAAAAACATTGACTAATATATCACTGTAATTTATTTAAATAAACTGCGCAGCAGACAGCGTCTTGAACAAAATTCGATTGTAAGAAGGCTTCCGCTATAATCCGTTTACCATTAATTATCTACTAATATTAATTGTAAAGTAAATTTATCTCTTTCAATTTATAAGAACTTGGCTTCATTATTATTAATGGTCTACCATATTGTCTGATGATAGGGAATAAATCTAATTCTCTGCGCAACCAATACCAAGTAGTGTAAAGTATCAGTTAAAAAAAAGTAGGATTAGTTCTTTTTTCCAGTTGTCCTCCAAAACTCCTTTACTGTTATTATCAATATTACTCTAATAATTGTGTTTTGTGTTCGAATTAACGAAACTTTGATTTATATTAATATTATAAAATACATAGAAAGGTGATCATATTGAATAGTTTAACCAGAGTTGAATCGTTCTTTTATTAATTAAGCCATGGACGTAGCTTGATTTAAGTATTAATTTTACATTCATATGTATGTGAAAACAGTGTTTGTTATAAGCATTTTTTGA